CTGGTCCATCGACAGAATCCTCTGTACAAGAACCTCTTCTTGTACAGGTGTAAGACGGCGATTTTTGGAGATAGCACCGCGTTGTGGAGGAATACCACGGGCGCGACGCGTAACCGTCTTTCTGGGCACATCGTATAGTTTCTCAACGCCTCGGAAGGATGTAATTTGGCCGGTCTTGTAGGCTTGAACGCCTAGAATAACTCTGCCTTCTTGAAAGATGGCTTCTTGTTGTTGTGGTGCTGCCATTGGGGTGGTTGTTGGACGACGCGTCGCGTGTTGAGTTGGGTGGGCCACTAGCTTGTGCGGGCCACTAACTTGTGGATTACGTTATCCATGTCTTGGCTTACATAACGCGGGTCGGCCCCCTGCGCCTCGTTTAGATCTGAACTACATATAGTCCGTACAGCCCCATCATCTTTAAGACTCATCATCCTTTTCTTCCCAACTTCATACACAATGCCTCGACTCGACCACTCCCTCGAGTCCCGCAAGGACTACGACAGATCACGAAGAAACGCATACCCACCCACCGACCTCCAAATCACCTCATTCCGCAAAATTGTTCGCAAAAGTATCAGCTCAATACAATCACTTCAGTCACTCTCATTAAGCAAAGAAAAGAAACCATCTCGTTCAAAACCAGGAAAAAGTCGAGACAAACCCACCTCTTCCCAAACCCGTCCTTTACCCACCAACATCTCCGACCTCCCCCCATCCTCAAAACAACCCCAATCCCCCCTCTTCCGCCTCACCCCAGAACTCCGCCAACAAATCTACCGCCACGTCCTCGGAACCTCAAACATCCACCTCACCCTCCGCCACGGCGGCCAGCTCCTGCGCCACACGCGCTGCAAATGCCCCTCCTGCCCCGGCACCGTCAAGTACCGCGACCGCGTGCACCCCGCGTGGACCCTCGACTGGCACTGCGACAGTGCCACGTACGACTACGGCGGCGCGCTCGCATCTCCGCAGCTGCTGCGCACCTGCCGTGCCGTGTATGCTGAAGCGATCGAGTTCCTCTACTCTGAGAACGTCTTCAGTTTCCGTTCGCAGAAGACGCTGGCGCGGTTTTTGGCTGACGTGGCGCCGGAGAAGCTGGCGCATGTAAGAGTCGTGCATCTCGACGTCGTGCCGTGTCAGAACGCGACGAGTCTGGGGTATCATCATGAGATGGAGTGCGCGTTCAGTGCGATACGGGTGACGGCAAGGCTGCCTGGGTTGCGTGAGTTGGAGGTTAGGGCGCATGCGGCGGAGAAGAGTGTGCAACCGGCTGGGGTGGGGTATCATCGGGAGGATACGCTGCCGTATCAGTTGCTAGCGGTAAGGAAGAGGGTGTTTGAGAGGGGAGGGCTGGAGGGGGCGACGCGGCTGAAGGTGTATTTGCCGCCGGGAGTTGATGCGATGGTTAAGTGGATGAGGGAGGAGGGGTCGTATGAAGTGGGGGAGCTTGAGGAGTGGGAGTGGGCGAAGGGAAGGGAGTTGTATCAGTGGAAGGTGGAGAGTGAGCCTGGGGGTTGTCGTTGAAGGGGATGTCGTTGACCGCGGACGTCGTTGAACTGGGATGCGTTGGGATGGGAGTGATGGGACTAAAGATTCGAAATGGGGAGTATGAAACCATAGTTTGTGGGTTGTTCCGTCGAGGTAGGCTGTAGAGCCTTCATAGGAAGTCATGACATCGACAAGCGTAGAATACAGACAGTGATACCCCTTTACTTATTCGAGGACTCCCAGGTCTTGATGCTGGAGTTCTTAAGGCTGTTAGATGTTATCAGATGAAGATACGTACTTGATATTCGTCGCCAGCAGCATCACAACGACTAAATCCCGACATACCCTTTACATCCCTTAATCAATTTCAATAACATCAGATCAGTAAACCCACCATTCTAGACCTCCAATGCTTCCAAATACTATCCCAACCGCAGTCGCAGCACCCCGGCGATAGGGCGTCGCCACTCGGCGAATGAGAGGCGCGGCATTCTAGTCGGCGAGGTGGTGGAGCCCGACACCCCGAAAATGGTATATAGAGATCAAACCACCACGCTACTCTCGACATCCGCCATCACAGCTCCAACACCAACTTACCATCACAAAACCAACCCAACAGCATAAAAAAACAGACCTCCGCCAAAATGTGCAAGAAGGCTACCTGCGATACCTGCCGTGCGTGCCCCACCTATGCTAGCATCTTTCAGCTCTCTCAGCTCAGCTACCCCTCATTGAACCACGCTCCATCCTTCCACCTCATCTTCGTCCCCTGAACCCACCATCCATCTTCCACCTTGCCTCCAATCCTCAAACATCATCCCAATCGTCGCTACGAAACTAAACCTCCCGCAGAAAAAGCCACCTGGTGGGGCTGCGGCTCGCACGTCCCCGGCGTCATGAAGGCGATTCCAGAGGCCGAGTGGTGCACCTGCACGCCCAAGGTCGAGAAGGAGGGGACAGAGTACCCGCCGATGGGCAAGATGGCGGATTGACTAGCCGGGTTGATGTTTTGGAGGGGGTGGGGGAGGAAGGAGGATGTGAAGGAGGGGGGAAAGGGGGGGTTGTAGGGGTTGTGATGGGGTTATGAGGAGTCGGATTGGAGTACAAAGGTATGGGTAAGAATGAGACTGGGTTAGGTTGCTTGGTTGATTGATCAGATTATATGCCAAGGCTACCTGGAGGTTTCCATGAGTGGCTTTCCTGTGCGTTTGTCACGAGAAGACCTGTGGATTTCTACCAGTCTTTACCTATCAAGAACCCGGGTCTTTTCGAAAAGGCTTAGCGTAAAATAACCAAGCCTGCCAAGTGAGGCCTTGCTGCTGAAGCCTAAAGATGGAGAATAAGCGAGCAACTTTGTCCCAGTCAATTCTTGCACCTCAGCTTTCAGAGCCGAGAGACACAATCTTCCTCAACTGTACTTTCTATCAGACCCTCCGATTCTTACGGAGATCCCTCAGGTCGCGAAAGGACAGGGGGGTATCGACGAAGGGTCGATTGACGACGTTGACGAAGCGATCGACATCATGGCCAAGATTGCGGCAATCTTTGCCGGAGGCTGATGCCCTAGAGGAGAATTCGCCGTAGAACATTAGTACGCCGACCACAAGTCAATAACCTTGCAAACAAGAGACGGCGAAGCTCCGAAGTGCGAACCTGTCCCAGGACACCGTGCGTCCCGGCACGCGTGGACAGACGTTAATAACATGCCCGCACCGCTCGGTGTTCCCCGACGATTTTCACCAACGCACCAAGGGTGGAGCAATTGTTGTGCAGGTGTGTGGGCTAGCTGTCCCACTTCCGTTGCTCGTTAGGTCCAAACCAATCTTGGTTATCACCTAGAGTAGTGCGGAGAACGGTAGCGGGGGTTGAGGGTTAGGGAGGGGTAGTAGCTTGCGGCGTTTCGGAGTCAGGAAAGGAGCACGACGGATTTGACGGATTTATGCCTGGCTTTTACTACTTGAATCGGCGCTCGAGGAGCCATATACAAACAAAGTATCAGGAGACGCACAAACAATTTCTAATGTCCGTCCCTGGGTGGCGCAACACCCACCGTACCGCATAATATGAGGGGTACATTAACTTTAAATAATTCAGGCTCTCTGCGCACATCATAATTTCCCATAAATTTTTATAAATAGTGTGCTGTGGCCATCCCAGGGCCCTTAGAACCTCTCCCACGGAAAAATTACGTTTGCATTGTCGCCTTCCCGCCTAATTTGCGGAGAGCCTTCTTTTATAGCGTAACCGAATTCCGTTAGCACAGCACCACTATTAAGCTCCCATCACTCCTAATGCTCATAAAAGGGCCTTATTTAAGCCTTAGAACCTCACTAACTTACTATACTACTTAACCGTTATCAACCTTGTGGCTGCTGTCGCACACAAATTCATGCAAGGTTACTACCCTAGTCGGTACTTCCGATTGAAGCACTTACCAATATTGGCTAGTGCAAAACGACCCGGCACGTCCTACATAATCATCTGTCGCAGACCAAGGCATCAGCCGTGGAGGCCTGAGGCAAGAACTGCATTAATAAGCTTGCCATCAAAGCTATATAGAACGTCGGGCGGGGTAACCCGACCGACAAGAGACACCACACACACACAATCAATTATACTCTGCTGCTTGATATCATTTCCAATCCCGCTTCATCCCGTGCACACCTAAGTGCGACAGTTATGAGCCCGGTAGCTCTTCTCCTGCTACACAGCACTACGAGCAACGAATAAATCAGACAATTCTCCTCTCAACGGAGCAGTTCTCACGAAGCGGCAACAATCCTCGGCCGATTCTACGAGAAGCGGGGTTGCAGAAAAAGCAACATTACAACCTTAACATCTAAAGATAAGGACTTAGAAATTAACTAAGTTAAGGCCTTTAAATAATTAAGATTAAATACAACAGTCTATTTCGAATTTACAGCAATCTGTTACATATTTCGGCGACTTGCTACGCCTAAGTTCTATGCTTAACTTGCAGCAAAGCTCCGTTCCTGCCACCGGATTTGGAGGAATTATCGCAATAATATTAATTAAAGATCACAACCTTCTAATACTTAATACACGTAATAATTAGACCGATTAGATTAATTCTATTAAGGATCTTACTATATAAAATAATATATAGAACTACTATAACCCCGAAAGTATTAAAAACCTAGTTTTTACTATTACTAAACTACTAAACTCGGTAAATAAAAATATAATCCAGAGATTCTACAGCCTTTAAGCTATTTATAATAGTAAAAGAAAGAAGTATAATAAAGTTTCTAAATATATTAATATTATAGTTTGCTAGGAGTTTAAACAATACTATATTAGAATTTATATAGTCTAAAGTAAGATTATTATACTAGCTAAAAGTATCTAGCTAACCGTAAAAAACTAAAAATAGAATATTAGGATAGAGTTTAAAAAGCTTAAAAAAGAATATAGCAGCACTAGTCTTAATAAATAGCTTAGCTAATAGCCTACTTTTATTAATAATGCAAAGCAGTATAAAATTAAAAACCTAAGTAAGTCCTAAATATATAATACCTTTATTAAAGCTTTATAGAACTTTAATCCTCTATTCTATAATTATATAAAGTTAAAAAAAGCTTATATTAAGGGGGAAACAACCCTTATTAAAAAAATAGCAAAGATAATAAAGAATATTTCTAATATACTTTTTACTGCGCTTAACTAGATAAATCTAAATTATATAAGCACCGGTTTTATAACTATTAATAACAACTCTAACTATTATAGTCTCGGGCGGCAGGATTACCCTAGCTAGCTCGGGCAGGTAGGTAGAAGTAATAACTAAATTTACTACGTGTTCTATAATATACAGCAGGCAAGCAGGTTAAATAATAAGATATAGCTTAAGAAGCTATAAAGAGGCAGGGCGGCGGTCGGCAGGTATACTCCTGCTAAGGCTTGCATGGGCCCTTATAATAAGGCCTTTCGCCGGGTTCTAATATCACGTGTTACGCTATATAGTAAGCTTTACCGTTTAAGCTGTAATAGTACTTTTCTTCTTACGGCCGAACTCTATTAAGGCCTAAGGACCGGGCTTTTTAGGGTAATAGCAATAGAATAACCGGATAGCTTCCTTAGTATATTCTAGATAGTTAGCGGGCTCTTCTATAACTTTGTTATATCCGGTCCACTTTACTATATACTTTAGGCGGGGGCGGCTACAACCGCGACGCTCCTATTAAAAGTTAACAACTTTCTTAACTTCCTACTTTTCTAAGCCTTTAACTTTAACTAGTAGCAGTGGTTTTTAATACTAGCCGGGCAGCGGATTATTTATAGCAGGTTTTAGTAAACTAATATAGAAGATATTATAGTTGCGCATGCTTTCTAGTAAAGTTAGGCAGTATATATAAGGGCTAATAACTTTCTTTATATAGAATAGTTTAAGATTTTTCTAATCTAGCTTTTTCTAAAGGCGGAGGGTTTTAATATTTTTAGTATTTAACTATACTAAGTTATTAACTTAATAGTTATAAGTAAGGTAATAGTTATAGTTTATATTATTTTTATATTAGGTATAAAAGGCAGTAAGTTTAGACTTTAGATATTCTAGAATCTTTTTTATATACTTAGTAAAGCGCTTAGCGTTTTTAGTAGGCAGGCGGGTTAATAGTTTAACCGGCTTAAAACCTAGATATAGGTGGAAGCTATAGTTTATAAAAAAGGGGGAGATATAGGTGCTTTTAGAATTTATAGTATTAATTAATAGTTTAGCTAAAGGCAGCTATTTAGCTTAGTTATTCTATAAATAGGATATATATACCTATAAGTACTATTTATTATAAACCGTAATATAAACCACCTAAGCGCAGAGGTACTTATAGAGATAAGTAAGCAGATAAAACTAATTATAAAGGAATAGGTTATAGGACTAAAAGGGTTATATATAGAATATATAGAAATCCTAGATTCCCCTATAGACTGCTAGTAGATAGGAATAATCTAGAAGATAAAACGTTATAAAACAGGAGGTTATATACCGGCTTAAGGCTGCTTATAGCGAGCAGGAGCGAGCAGGCTTAATAAGCTTGCGGGAAGAAAGTATAAGCTAGCTTGCCAGGCTTATATGCGAGCATAGTAAGTATATAGGTTTCTTAGAACGGAGCTTTTATATATAAGAACGCTCCTTTATATAAATAGGAACTTTATATTTAACTTAAAACTTTAATACTACCTATTAGAAGTAATAACCCTGTTTTATACCTAAGATTAATCTTACCTTACCTTTTAAAGACTATTACACCCCGATAACAACTTACCTATACCCTGCCTTAGTATATAATACTTAGAAGGTATAGAAGAAACAACCTGTTATACTTTAAATACCGCTATATTAAAGAAGTTATATATAAACAATTAATTAAAATAGCCCTACTAACCTTTTTAGGTAGTATAACTACTAGACCTACCCTAACTATAACCGAAGTAGTAATATATATATAGGCGTTGCTTATATAAATATAAACACTAGAAGAAGCTAGTAATACTAAGAATAAAAAGATTATAGCCTTATAGGGAAATTTCTAGACTATTTAAAAAGAGCTTACTACTACTAGAATAGTTAGCTACAGAAGCTATAAAATAAATAAACCCGAAGAGTTTACTAGTAATAAAGGAGCTCTATAAGCATTTATAACGCAGATAAAACTATACCTGCGCATAAACTAGAGCAACCTTAAATTTAAATTAAATAAGGTCTGTATAGCAGCTATCTTCTTAAAAAAAAAAGCGTTTAACTAGTTTAACCCGATGCTTATAAACTGGCTTAGCAACGCCGATATAGACGATCGGAAACTAGAAACTAATATTATATTTAGCGACTATAAGAACTTTAAAGCGGCACTCTAAATAACTTTTAGAGATACCGATAAAGAACGGACTGCAGAATAAAAGATTATAGTTCTAAAATAGAAGGGCTTAACCAGCCGCTATACTTTAGAATTTATATAAATCGCGTCTAAGCTATTAT